GTCGAGAACCGAAAGGTCAATCGATTAACTCCCGAACGCTTCCCAGCCGAGTTGAAACTCGGCTGGGAAGCGTTCGGGAGTTTATGACATACATTTTCGTCACGTGACGTTTTAAAGTTTACAAAACGTTTACCTGAAGACTTGAAAACAAGACTGTACAACCAGTGCGTGTAGCCATCTTTGTACCGGTAAAACGACCGCTCACTAGATATGCAGGGAGTCCATGGATGTTGGTTGCTCAAAACAGTGCTTTGTGCTGCTGAAAATACGCCTCTTTTAAGAAAGTATTTCAGCAGTGGAGTAGTGAATAGTTGTAATAATAAAGTATTTGATATATCACAGCACTTGTAATGATAATTAATTATCTTTTGATGTCTTCGTTTTCAGCTCTGAACTTTATTTATTATAGCAAAATTAAACACTATAGAAAAATTCGTCAAAGTGTGATATATACCTAGTCAGGTCATAAGTATTGTCACACAGTAAAAACTTTTCTTTTAGAATGCTGGCCACAAAAAAGTTTATTGAATTCGAATTTCGAATTGTTCATAAAAATAAAACTGTATACTTTTCAGAATTTTACTCATTTTTAAATATGAGTGGACGCTTAAAGAAGACCGTGTTGCAGTTATTGTTGTGGTTACGCGACAATTCAAATTTTTGACATACTGAAAAATTTGAATATAACCAAAAGATTTGTTTATCGTACAATCAAACGATACAATGAAGACTCTAGTGTAGATGACAGGTCAAGAAGTGGTCGCCTTCGGTCTGTTAGGACTCCAGCAGTGATAAAAGCTGTGAAGGCGCGAATTCAAAGAAATCCCAAACGTAAGCAGAAACTGTTGGCCCTTCAGATAGGGTTAAGCAGAACCACAGTGAAAAGGGTATTAAATGAAGACTTAGAGCTTCGGGCATATCGAAGAAAAACAGGACATCGTTTGAATGCTCGTCTAATGGACCTGAGACTGAAGAGATGTCGCGCTTTGTTGAAGCGGTACGCGGGAAAAAAATATCGGGAAATTCTTTTTTCGGATGAAAAAATTTTTACCGTAGAAGAGAGCTACAACAAACAAAATGATAATGTGTACGCACACAATAGTGAAGAAGCGAGCAACCGTAGTCCGCGTGTCCAACGAGGTCATTTTCCATCCTCGCTCATGGTATGGTTGGGAGTTTCTTATTGGGGCTTAACAGAGGTACATTTTTGTGAGAAAGGTGTAAAAACGAATGCAGTTGTGTATCAAAATACAGTCCTGACGAACATTGCGGAACCTGTTTCTCATACCATGTCAATAACAGGCACTGGGTATTCCAACAAGATTCGGCGCCAGCTCATAGAATGAAGAGCACACAAGACTGGCTGGCAGAAATCGACTTCATCCGGCACGAAGACTGGCCCTCCTCCAGTCCAGATTTGAATCCGTTAGATTACAAGATATGGCAATACTTGGAGGAAAAAGCGTGCTCAAAACCTCATCCCAATTTGGAGTCACTCTAGATATTATTGATTAAGGCAACCGCCGATATTGACATGGACCTCGTTCGTGCTGCGATAGACGAATGGCCGCGCAGATTGAAGGCCTGTATTCAAAATCACGGAGGTCATTTTGAATAAACTTTAGTGTCATAAGAATCTATGTTTTGTTAAGTTCATTTTGGTTTATAAATGGTTACATAATGAATAAACTTGTTTCAATTATTTTATATTAAACATGTGACATATATAGGTTGTAACTTTGTTTCTTTCACCTGATCAAAATGAAAGCGCAAATGTAAACATGGAACAGATGAGTTTCTTCAGTTTCACCATCACAAATCTTTATATAATATACATATAAATAAAATTGAAATACCTTTCAATAATATCGAAATAACTGCCTTGTATTGAGCTGAGAGGGTTATTTTCATGTTATTGAGACATAGTAACCGTTTTTTATTTTGTTTGTCTGTTGGTTTCTCTGCCTGTCTATCCATGCTAATCTTCAGATTAACTGAACCGATTGTCAAGAAACTTTACAAACAGATAGAAAGGAATTCAGGATGTGATCTAGGCTTGCTATTTTATCCGTAAATACTTGGAGCGTTTCTTTATAAACTAAAAAATTTATAAAATGTAATAAATAGTCTTGGATAAACAGTTTAAATCTAAATAACACCACATTAATAGATCCCATCCATACGAAACCAGTGTGGGTCGCTAGTTTTAAATAAAATTGTGGTGATTAGATCATTTATTTAATAGTAAAGAAGCTAGTGATTAATTCATATACAAACAAAACAGTCTTAAAATATAAACGCAATTAAAATTAATCAAAATATGAAATTCTGTAAGTTTTTATTTATTTTGAAGTAAGAAATGAAGATAATAAATTTCCTGTATTGTTGTAATTTAATGATAAGAAATAATCAACAAACTTTAATTTTACACTCGTGTTTTTAAATAAGAAAGTATAAAATTAAAACACGACATTTTGACTTTCACATTTCCACTTTACAGTTACAAACTATTCTACATTCCGTGAGATGAACTGAATTTGTAGCCCCATTTCCCCCGATAGATCTCAAAAGAGGAAAGAAAGAAGTAATAATTAAATCAACAAACATAGACCAAAATTATGTCATACATTTTTTATATTATTATACTAATGTTAGTGCGAGTGTATGACTATGGACGTGGACTGTTGCTTAATGATCTTGAAACAATAATGATTACAGATGCCTTATCACCCCTCAGAACTAAAATAAATTGCCTGGCAGCCTGGCATTACACCACAGTTCCTAAAATCACAATATAGAGTTGAAATTTGTTTTTTTATATGATGGTAAGTGGATGCTTTATCCTCGATTAAGAATCACCTGATGGTAAGTGGTTGCTGTGGTCCACAGATATCTACATCTATCCTCGTCTGCGAATCAAACAGCAGCCGTGAGGTCCAAAATCTTTTCCAGTAAAAATGGTTTCCGGTTCTCTACACTCAACATACGAAACACAGCGCAATAAGCTGCTATTTCACGCTGGTATTCTGTGAGAGCGTGGTCCTTCCCCGGTCGAGCCAACAGATTTGTGCAACAACCATACAATTAATATAGCTGCAGCATGGCTCTACCATGTAAATAAATTTTTTGTCATTTAAGTTAGAACTAGTTGATACACTTTCATCAACTTAGTCGTAGACCTATTTAGTTTCAACGTAGTCGTATTCTATATATAGTTTGACGTTTTTATTGCAAGAGAAATTAACTTGAATATTGTTTTGTAATTTACAATGTTACGTAATATAATTGTTGTGGCTTCGGAACAGTCCCGATATAATATCCTTTTCCTAAGTATTTCCTATCCTCCCGCCTCCCCCATATACGCACTACTCAAAATGGTGCGCCACCTATCGTCAAGAAAAAAGAAGAAGCAAGATGGCCGCGCACGCATAAAACGTGTTCGTTACTGCTCGTTTAAAAATACTCAATAAATAAGTTGTAAGACTATCGTGCAATTGCTCGTGTCCATATACATTCGAAGTGCAGTGTGGTGTCTGTGTATACACGAGAACTTCAGCTTAATATTTAGACTTCACCATAACCACGAGGAGTGCTCCAGTCTTGTGAGTATCCTTGCCTTATCTACCCAGTTCTAAAGCTATTTTCATTTACTTCCTGATTGGGATTATCGGGTTAGCCAGCCCTTGGTCTGGTTGTTCTCTGGTTCCCAAAACCACCCTACGAAACACATTGTGAAACATTCAAGCCGTAACATAATTTATGGTCCATACGATCCGGGTACCTATGGATTTCTATTTTTATACAGTGTGCTCCTTATTAATATAATATCAAGTTCAATTTCTGAGGAAAACTTTGATATTTAATCTATTTTTCTTATGATTAAAAGTAACTAATTCATTTCAATTATAATCCTGCTAGACTTGAATGTTCGTGAAGTGTTTCGTATTGCTCGGACTTTGCAGACTTATCTTATTTGGTTGCGTTATAATTGCTAAGTTTATTTCGAATGTGCATTGATAGTCTTACGCTTTGAAAATTATTATAATTTGAGGGTATTTTATAATTATTGTTGGAAAAAGTTACTAAATCAGTTTATGGAAATGATTAATTTGGTCTTGGAATAATAGCACTTAAGTATAAATACTTGTATATTTTTGAATGTTGAGTCGTTTGTTAATTGTTATCTAATTCAAACATTTAAAAAACGTTAACATTAAAATTCAGTGTTAAAGTGTTAATTTAGTTTTGACAAACTTAAATATTGATTTAAATATCTGTCGTTAATAATTATACTTAACATTCATATTTAATATTTCGCTGTTATTTTATAATCATGTCGCAAGAAGAAATGAAACTTAAACTTTATACGTCACAGCGAGAGTATGTTTTTCGTTCTATTCAAACTCTTTTCGATTTATCCACTTAAATACGGGAAGACTCCAGTTCATCTAAAGTTAGCCAATTTAAATCTAGATTTCTTAAAATTGAGAACATTCGTGATGAATATGTGTTGCTTACGGAAAAAAATTAATTCGTTAAAACTGACACTGTTTCCTAAAGAAAAAGTAGATAACTATGCAAGCGTTGTCTGCATTTGATGATATGTACTATGAAGTCATAAGTTTTGCCGCGGAGATGTCCCTACCGGAGCGCAAACGAAGCAGTAGCCCAACGACCGCTGACGTTAACCTTCCGATGAAATCATTCCCACCAATCTGTGTGACGATTGGGTTTCATTTGTGTCTGACTTGTCTAATATAAAATCGATAAAAATCCCTCGTAAAACCGTGATTGACTTAGCAGCTACACACCAGCTGATTGGGTTTTGCGATGGATCTACCAAAGCATATGGGTGCTGTGTCTATCTTCGATCAAGTATCGATGATCGAAAACAAGTTTCTCTTTTGATTTCTAAATCTAAAGTGGCTCCGATTAAGCCTCTAACAGTTAATCGTTTGGAGTTGTGCGGTGCGCTCTTGTTATCACGTACTCTCAAACACATGCAAACTTTACTTATTTCGAAAATAAATATATCTCATATTGTTGCCTACACTGATAGCTCAACTGTATTAGCTTGGATCAATACCGAGTCTTACAAACTGAAACGTTTTGTTGCGCATCGAGTAGTTAAAATAACTGATGCATTTGAACCTTGTACCTGGAGGCATGTCCCGACTCAGGACAATCCTGCTGACTTTCCTAGCCGAGGTCTCTCGTGTGCAGAATTGGTCAATTGTACGCGATGGTGGTCAGGACCAGATTGGATGCTTAGTGGTCCAGATCACTGGCCAGCTCAAAGTCAGTGTGAGCTCCAGGATGATTTGCCAGAGTTGAGAACACGCACTCTGATTGCTCAATCTCGGGAATCTGATAAAGACATTATGAAGGTGTTATTAAATCGGTATTCATCCTTATCGCGACTACAACGAGTATTGGCATGGGTCTTTCGCTTCATTCCTAATTCGCGCAATGAACAAAGCCAACGCGAGAAAGGTCACTTGACTACGAATGAGGTAAAGTGCTCTCTGCTTAGCCTTATTAAATATGTCTATATTTGTTACCGAAACAATCTATTTTATCTCAATTAATTATTAGCTATTATGATAAACAGTATTTGCACTGTGGACCTCGCACGTTACAATCACTAATTGATCGCAAGTTTTGGATTTTAGGAATTCGAAATCTTATTCGTTCTATTTTAACAAAGTGTGTGACTTGCTTTCGGGTTAAACCTGTACCCTATCAGCCATCTATGGGCAACCTGCCACCTTGTAGATCTCAACAAGGTTACTGTTTTCAACAGGTATGGATCGACTTTGGCGGTCCTTTTCTTATAAAAGAAAACAGACGACGTAACGCACGGGTCAGTAAGGCTTACATATGCTTGTTCATTTGCTTATCTGTAAAAGCAGTTCATTTAGAACTCGTATCTGAACTGTCTACAGAAGCGTTCCTAGCCGCCCTAGACAGATTCGTGTCTCGACGTGGAATATGTCAACATATTGTGGCACTAACTTTGTAGGCGCTAAACGATATCTTGAGGAAATGGTTAAATTATTGATAGATAAAAAACAGGATATTTCTGATCAATTAACGTCTCGTGGAATCTCTTGGAAACTAAATCCACCTTCAGCACCTCACTTTGGAGGCATTTTTGAAAGTGGTATAAAATGTACTAAATATTATCTCAAGAGGGTCATAGGCTCACAAGTCCTGACGTTTGAAGAACTAACTACAGTTTTAACTAAAGTTGAAGCGATGCTGAACTCAAGACCGATTTGTCAGTTATCGTCTGATCCTGGCGAAGTTGATGTTCTCACGGCCGGTCATTTTATTATAGGACGTCCTTTAGTCGCTCTACCAGAACCGTCTGTTGAAGATATGAATCCTAGAACACGCTGGCAGTTACTTCAAAAGCTCTCTCAAATTTTTTGACGTATTTGGCAAAGTGATTATTCACATACGCTCCAACAAAAAGTTAAGTGGTTTAAGGATGATCACAAACATCCTAATATTGGTCACCTCGTTTCAATCATTGTACCTATCTACCACCTAACGAATGGCGCCTAGGTCGAGTAGTCCAAATCCACCCCGGAAAGGACAATATTATCCGGGTTGTGACCTTAAAGACTAAAAGAGGCTTACTTACAAGACCAGTAGTCAAAGTCTGCCCTCTTCCTCTCGATTGAATCTTATTTTTATTGTTTTATTAAGCTAGATTGTAAGTTCTAATTTTACAATTAAATTAACTAAGTTTGATTTTCATTTGTAGTTTAGTTAAGGTTATCAATGCACAACTTAGCTCAGATATCTATTTGGTTTTTATTAATTTATATTCTATGAGCAACTGGGGACCTGGAGAGCTGCCGGGTCGATGGTTGTCTTGTGAAATCCCTAGGTGATTTCAGGTGGGAGGGAATGTTGTGGCTTCGGAACAGTCCCGATATAATATCCTTTTCCTAAGTATTTCCTACCCTCCCGCCTCCCCCATATACGCACTACTCAAAATAGTGCGCCACCTATCGTCAAGAAAAAAGAAGAAGCAAGATGGCCGCGCACGCATAAAACGTGTTCGTTACTGCTCGTTTAAAAATACTCAATAAATATGTTGTGAGACTATTGTGCAATTGCTCGTGTCCATATACATTCGAAGTGCAGTGTGGTGTCTGTGTATACACGAAAACTTCAGCCTAAATATTTAGACTTCACCATAACCACGAGGAGTGCTCCAGTCTTGTGAGTATCCTTGCCTTATCTACCCAGTTCTAAAGCTATTTTCATTTACTTCCTGATTGGGATCATCGGGTTAGCCAGCCCTTGGTCTGGTTGTTCTCTGGTTCCCAAAACCACCCTACGAAACACATTGTGAAACATTCAAGCCGTACCAATAATGGTTGATTAGATGTAACTCTAAATCATTGCATCGCTGCATCAATATTGCTAATGAGCCGATATTCATTGAGTCGGTTTTTCTCGACAGCGATGAGTCAAATAGGTACTCGTACTAGATTCAATTTCGCAATAATGGCAGCAATAAGGAGTAGATAGTCCGAAAAAGGAGAGAAGCGTCAATAACGCAAGACGTCTAGTACAGCGATCGCTTATATGCCAATCAGGCGTACAAAGACTGAAGCATATCCAGACAGTAATTTACTGAAATATTTTACTGAAATGAGATAACAGAAGAAATATCAGTGCTCAAGAATAATAGATTTCGGATCTACAAAGCTTATAATTAATTGTTATCCTTACAACTCAATGATAAAATGGTAATCCTAATAATTCAAAGAAAAACTCATATAAATAAATACATAACAAAGAAACATGCGCCTAATTGAGTTCTTTTTTGTATTCATGGCATATAATAAAAGCTCGTAATAAAAGTGAATGCAATTTTTTTTTATTTTCCTTGTCAATAATCTTCAGGCGGCTAATATTCACCTCATATGAACTGAAGAGCGAGACGAAGGTATATTTAATACGAATAAAAGAATAAAATATCATAGTTATCCGAGCTTTCTTCAGATTTTGATGATATCGTCGCACTAGATGTGTTTACCATCACGACCCTGTTAAATTTGAAAGGTATTTCCCACCATGTTTGGCAGGGCCTTGTCCATTATTTATCGGCGTGCAGCACGTGCAGATGTTGTTGGCAATCCGGGTAAAGTTGGCAAATCGTCAATTTCTACCATTTGGGTTGCGAGCATTAAGGGTAGACTGGGGATCCCAAACGCCTAGTAATGTAACCCCCGAGAACAATAACCCAGAAAGTGCCCTCTAGACAACGTGTAGCACTGCGACGGTGTAGGGAGCCCCGGTCGCGTTCCAAATGGAGATCCACCGCTTGTATACATTGGTGGTGACCATAGTAGATTTTAAGCTGGGAGAAGTCCGGTATAACCTTTCCTTTGTCTCTACAGTGAGATTAGTCTATCCAGTCCAGAACTTTTCCACGATAAAAAATGACCCCTAATATCAAGAGCCCCCGGGTTAGATTGTGCTCAGCAGTATTTATATTGTTAATTTACTTTATTTTTATATGTGAAATATAATGAATTACTCTAATTAATCACAGAGTAATCCGTAGTTATATTATTTGACAATATTAAAATTTATTTGCAGGGCATCCATCATGGAGAGTTTTTTATAATTATTTTTAGCACTGATATTTGTTTACTGAATATCAATTCAAACATTCATTACAGCTCATCAAAGCCCACTGCTAAACTTAGGCCTCCCCCATAGATGGTTTTATAGGGATATTAATTGTCATAGTTGTCGTGATTGTCAGGCGGTTTCATCACTTTCCCTTTGTCGCCTCTACTACACTCGTAGGATGATATGGGATTCTCTTAAGCCACGACCTCACGGCAATATTTTCTCTTTCTCTTCTCTTTATTATAAAACGTTACCCCCACACTAGGATTTTCTCCTGTATCGTGGAGGCAGTTTACAAACATAAATTGCACGAGGACAAACATCAAGACCCGGAACAATTATTTGTAGGCCATACAAATACTTGTTCCGTGCGGGATTCGAACCCGCAGCCCCTAGCGCAACAACTCATTGCTAAGCCACTGCGCCACGGAGCCGTCTAATTATTTATGTTAAATCAAAATAAAAACATAATGTTTTTTTGATTTTTATTTATCAAAACATTACATAAGATTTGATAGATTTGTGCTTTATCAAATCTAATGTAAAGACAAGGGAGATCAAATCTAATGTAATAGATTTGATAGGATTCCTGCCAAGGATGATACGTGAGGCTACTGAAATTAAAAAACATGCTAATTTCAATAGAGAAGGAGGCTAGGTACTACCACCTGCTTGGGATCCTGCAATTAATAAAATTAAAATTAAACCCAAGCATACTACAAGTTTTGCAGACTTCAAGACACAGTAAGTTCATCCTCGGTAGAGCGGACCAAATGTAATGATTAAATGCTGAAGGCACTCCGGGTTAACTCTGACATCGGGACGGAAATTACATCATTCCTCCGTAACCATGGGTGCTGGAAAACACTCAAAACGTCGGTTATTAAAAATAAGTACAATCAAACGCAAAAAAATCCGTAAAAAAATTTATTCAATGTGTAGTGTTCATGTAAAAATAAGAAATCATTAGGTATTATGTATACTTGTGAAAAGAGTCCCCATTCTTCCATATTTTAATTTGATCTTAAAAGTTACAAGAACTTTAGAAAAGTTAGTAAAAAAATCAAAAAAATCCAATAATCTTAATAGTCTTAATGTGTGTGCAAGCATGCGTGCATAAGTCATACTTACAATGTTTAGGCAAAAACATTATACATTTGAAACGTGAATCTTTTAACGTGCGTACGTAGCGCAGCATCGATAGCAAGGTCACCCGCCCCCCACCCGGTAGCATTTCACGGCGGTATCGGCCGGATTTCCCGAGAAGCAATGTAAAGTTTTTTGGGATCTATAATGACGTCTTAGTGATTAGTGCCTATTTTTGTTACGAAAGTATAAACCCGCGTAAATCGTTGCGCCTACGAGGACACGTATTGTTCTTTGGGACTTATTAATTTCTGTCAAATTAATTGTGCAACTCCGATAGTGATTTTCCTTTGAAGTTCTACGTTTGGCTGTACCATTACGTGACAAAACGGAAAGGGTACCTCAAGAGGGGAATAGTTCTGGGGCTACCAGCGGATACCTTCTCCAGGACAGTATTGTGTCATCTAGCTCAGGCCACTTACACACAGATTCATACAAAGCACACATACATTCACTACACTTCCATCAGCCGGGCAGATCCTGGTGAACCATCTCCGCTCCAGAAGCAGGTAAGTGCCTTTCTCTTACCGGTCTTTCCCCCTTATTGTTTATTTTAATTAGAGACCTTCCACTTTGGCCTTAAAGGCCCGACCTGCATCTGCCTGTAGGTTCTTCTTACCATGGGCCCGGGAGGATCCTACTATTAGATAGGCAGCTGCACGCCGTAACATTTGGTAGCAGTAGCGTGGCTGATTGTGTCTACAATCACGCCCGGCCGTAATACGTAAAATTAACATAATATAATTAATATAAATAATAATTCTTTTCTTTTGTTGCTTTGTTGCTCGCCTTTTTTTGTTGTTAGTGGGTAGTTACTAACGCGACGCCCGTAGGTTAACAAGCGGGAATTTTGTTGAGGCGAAGTACTTTGATTAGGTAGATAAGGTTGTCACGTAATCGGATAATTTGTTGATCGTACTATGGTTGTTACTTGCTAATTTGATTTGTGTTTTTTCGTGTTAACTTGTATTTAATTTAATAATTGTGTAATTTCTATTTAACTTGATTGATAGGAACTGTATTTTTTATTTTTGCTAATTTGAGCAGCGTAGTAATTGTATTTAGTAGGGATGCCGTCACATAAGCTACTAATTCGTTGCTTGCGGACTTAGCTGCGCTGGACTACCAGCGCACACGCTTTGATAGGCCGACCGGATAGGGTTTATAATATGAGGAAGAGGCTCGAGCAGGTCGATGCTCGAAGGGCTGCCGTGGAGGAGGCCTACGCTGAGCTCGAGGACTCGGAGGTGGAAAAGGGAGTCCTGGACTCCTGCCGCGCGGACTTCGAGCAGTTCCTCGCGCTCACGGACGACTTGATAGAAGCGGGGGCCAAGGACGCGGAGAAGGAGCGCGAAGCTCGGCTGAGTGGCCTGCTCGAGTCCCCTCGGAAGCCGCCCACTCAGCCAGAGCTGTTAGGACGACTCCCCACACTGGACCTGCCAAGGTTCTCCGGGGTCCTCTCGGAATGGCTGACCTTCGTCGGTATGTTTGAAAGCCTGGTGGACGCCCGGAGGGACTTGACCCCCTGCCAAAAAATGGGGTAACTCCTGGCATCACTGGAGGGGGAGGCCCTGGGCGTCGTCGGCCACCTTAAGTTGTCGGACAACGCCTACCAAAACGCCAGGGAC